GCAGAAAACTGTCTCCTTCATCGTTTTGCTTGAACTTCGTCGTCGTCAATCATGTTCCTCCTGTTCCAACTTTGTTTCTCCTCTCTTCTGAAGCATAGGGCATGTCTGATAGTTAGGCTTCACATATCCTAACAATCTCCCACTTGGAGACTAACTATCAATCTCTTTCAGCTCTCTCTGCGGCGACGGCCTCCATATCATCAAGTGCTGAGGCCAACTGAAGTTGAGCACAACTTCAGTTTCTCTGTAGTGACAACCTTGGTAAGCATATCAGCCGGGTTCTTGCTTCCTTGAATCTTCACAAGTTCCAACATGTCCTCGTCCAACGCTGATCTTATGAAGTGGTAGCGGACCTGTATGTGTTTGGTCCTTGCATGAAAAGCGGGATTCTTTGCCAAATGAATTGCGCTCTGGCTATCACAATGTAAGACACTCTTCTCATCCTCCAAGAAACCCTACAACCATATCATCTCCTTGCTTGCCTTTGTCACAGCAACATATTCAGCCTCTGTCGTTGATAAAGCAACGATCTTCTGCAACTGAGAAATCCAACTAATAGCTGTAGAGCCCAAAGTGAATACATATCCCGTAGTGCTTCTTCTCTGGTCTATCTCACCAGCATAGTCTGCATCAACAAAACCCTGCAGGACTAACTTGCCTCTTCTGAAGCATAAATAATCTTCTATTGTACCTCGCAGGTATCTCAGAATCCACTTTACTGCTTCCCAGTGCTGCTCTCATGGATCTGACATAAATCTGCTCACAGCTCCCACTGCATGAGCAATGTCGGGTCTCGTGCATACCATGGCGTACATAAGGCTTCCAATGGCTGAAGCATATGGAACCTTAGCCATGTAGTCTTTCTCTTCATCAGTCTCGGGACACTGCTCCTTAGTCAATTTGAAATGACTAGCTAACGGTGTGCTAACGGCCTTAACACCACTCATGCCGAATCACTCAAGCACCCGTCGAATATACTCGGCCTGAGATAGCCGCAGTGTGCCCAAGAGTTTATCTCTACTGATCTTCATTCCCAATATCTGCTTCGCTGCGCCTAGATCCTTCATGTCGAACTCACTCGACAGCTGCTTCTTCAGTTTCTTGATCTCTGTCATATCTGAACCGGCTACTAGCATGTCGTCGACATATAGGAGTAGGATGATGTAACTCTTGTCAAACTCTTTGACAAAACAGCAATGATCAGCATTGCATCTGGAATAACCGTTCCTGTGCATGAATCCATCAAACTTTTTGTACCATTGCCTTGGAGCTTGTTTCAGGCCGTACAAGCTTCAATCTGCATATCATCCTCTCTTTTCCCTTCTGAGTAAACCCCTCTGGCTGCTGCATATATATCTCTTCCTCTAGGTCACCGTGGAGGAAAGCTGTCTTCACATCTAGCTGCTCGAGATGTAGATCTTCAGCTGCAACAATACTCAGGACTGTTCTGATGGTAGTCAGTTTGACTACTGGAGAGAAGATCTCTGTGTAATCAACTCCTTCCCTCTGCTGAAATCCTTTAACCACCAATCTGGCCTTGTATCTCTTGGAACCATCATGTTCCTCTTTGATTCTGTACACCCATTTATTGCTCAAGGCCTTTTTCCCCGTTGGTAGCTTCGCAAGTTCCCATGTCTTGTTGGTGTTCAAGGATTTTATTTCATCTTTCATGGCGAGCTCACACTTGCTCGCATCATCCACTCGAAGAGCCTCATCATAACTTTCTGGCTCTCCACCGTCACTCAAAAGTAGGTAATTGAGATGAGCTCTGGGCTGTAGTGATGGGTACTTCGGATTAGGCTTGGGGACTCTAGCTGACCGCCTCAACTCTCTAACGGGCGAAACAGGCTCTTCATCTTCATCTGCCCCCTCTGAAGTGGTCTCATCCATCATCTCTTCTTCTTCATCAGAACTAGCTTCGGGATTGCCTCCACCTGAGGCATAATCTGACTCGAAATATGTAGGATCACTCTGCATCGAGCTAGTGGGCTGAACTGCATCACGGTCTTTGTAGAGGACTGATTCGTTAAAGACCACATCCCTGCTTCTGATGATTTTCTTGTTCTGCTCATCCCAAAATTTGTAGCCAAACTCATCACCGCCATAGCCAACAAAGAAACATTTCAAAGACTTAGGATCAAGTTTGTTTCTTGCATGATCACTCAGATGAACATAAGAAACACAACCAAATACTCTCAGGTGAGAAAGGTTTACCTGCTTTCCACTCCATACTTCTTCAGGTATTTTTGTGCTCCAAAGGCACTGATGGCCCCCGGTTGATCAAGTAGGCTTCCACTCCATACTTCTTCAGGTATTTTGTGCTCCAAAGGCACTGATGGTCCCCGGTTGATCAAGTAGGCAGCTGTGTTGACTGCTTCTGCCCAGAATTGCTTTGGAAAACCTGCTTGTAACCGCATACTTCTGGCTCTCTCAGTCAATGTTCTGTTCATGCGTTCTGCTACGCCATTCTGCTGGGGTGTACCTGGCACTGTCCTCTCTAATCTAATGCCGCTGTCATAACAGAACTTCTTGAACTCTGAGTCTTCATACTCGCCGCCGTTGTCAGAACGAAGCTTCTTGATCTTCAAACCGGTCTCGTTCTCAACCATAGCCTTCCATCGCTTGAAGACTTCAAACACTTCTGATTTGTGTTTCATGAAATAGACCCAAGTCTTCCTCGAGTGATCATCTATAAAGGTCACGAAATATAACCTTCCGCCGGTGGATGGAACTGATGCTGGGCCCCACACATCTGTGTGAACTAACTCAAGCTTCTCTTCTTTAGGGGTTATGCCCACCCTTTTGAAGCTTATTCTCTTTTGTTTCCCTAGAATGCAGCTTTCACATAGGTTAATATCAGCCGATCTCAAACCTGGTAACTTCCCGTTCGATTGCATAACCTTTAGGCCTTTGCTACTCATGTGACCTAGCCTCTGGTGCCACAAATTTGGGTCTTCACTGCCTTCAGCCACTGCAATGGAACCTCGTGCATCTATCGTCATGTAGAGAGATCCCGTCTTCGTACCACGGGCAACAACCATGGATCCCTTTGTAACCTTCCATGTATCACATGCAAAGGTTGATACGTATCCCTCTTTCGCCAATTGTCCTATGGAAATCAGATTTTTCCTCAAGCTAGGAATATGTCTCACATCACTCAGCTTCCATGTAGACTCATTGAGCTTGATTTGCACGACTCCTTTGCCAACAATGTCACAAGGCTGATCATCACCAAGATAGATTTTTCCTAGGTTTCCTGAAACGTAGTTCTCAAATAAATCTCTATTTGAGGTAGCATGAAACGAAGCTCCTGAATCCAGCACCCACGATTCAGTTTTGCTCTCCAACGAACAGATTAGGGCATCATCTGATTCTCCTGAGGCCACGTTCGCTTCAGTCTTGTTCTCCTTGTCCTTCTTGGGTTCTCGGCACTGATTCTCATAGTGGCCAAACTTGCCACAATTCCAGCAATCGATCTCCTTCTTGCCCTTGCCATTCCTGGACTTTGGCCTTCCGTTCCTCGAGTTAGATCTTCCTCGGCTACTCCCTCTATTTCTGTTTCTGTTTCTTCCTCTGCCCTCAAGATTCAACGCCGACCCTGAATTAGAAATCCCTTCCTCTTGTCTTCTTATTTCCTCAGTCATAATCATGTCCACCACCTCTGAAAACTTCAGTTTTGATTTGCCACATGATCCGCTAATCGAGATAACGGTACCCTTCCAACTGTCCGCTGATCGAGATAACGGTACCCTTCCAACTGTCGGGCAATTGACCAAGTATCAAGAGGGCTTGGATTTCATCGTCAAACTGAATATTGACCGAGTTTAGTTGATCCGTGATCTCGTTAAACTCGTTCAGGTGTTCCTTGAATTTCTGGCTCTCGGACATCCTCAAATTAAACAACTTTTTAATGAGATGTACCTTATTCGCCGCAGAGGGCTGCTCATACATACTGGACAACGCCGCCATGAGATCCGCCGTCGTATTCTGATTCTTGATGTTGAACGCTACTGATTTAGACAAGGTCAACCTGATCGCTCCAAGGGCCTTTCGATCCAATAGCTTCCAATCCGCATCTTTCATATCCGTCGGCTTCTCTCCCAATGGTAGGTATAAATCCTTCTGATAGAGGTAGTCCTCCATCTGCATCTTCCAGAACCCGAAGTTTGTTCCATCAAACTTCTCAATCTTGGATGTTTCTTTCTCAGATCTCATTGTCTCTGACCTCAAATCGCTCGCGCCGAACCTGGTCGCTCTGATACCACTTGTTGGAGATGCACAACCCCCCTGATGTGATTTGGAAATAGAGATTTAGGAGAGAAGAGAGAAAATCAAACAATCTCAAACACACAAGATTTACGTGGTTCGCTTCTCAATGTGAGAAACTACGTCCACGGCCGCCGCAGGAGAAAAATTCACTATTTTTCATCTTTTTCATCATGCCCTAATCAACCCTTTTATAGACTTAAGGGTTTAACAAGTAAAAAAAGAAACAGAACAAAACAGGTTAAATAACGAATCTGGGCTAAAACCCGACTCCGGTCGACCGCAGCACCACATGCGGTCGACCGCGACGAATCCTATTCCTGATCGAGCTCTCTACGTCGGTCGACCGCCGCGCCATGGCCGGTCGACCGCGATGCAGAAAACTGTCTCCTTCGTCGTTTTGCTTGAACTTCGTCGTCGTCAATCATGTTCCTCCTGTTCCAACTTTGTTCCTCCTCTCTTCTGAAGCATAGGGCATGTCTGATAGTTAGGCTTCACATATCCTAACACATTCTGCATTTATATATTTGTAAATATTTACATACTACTCAGTGTGCTGTGTACACAGTATAGCTTTATGTCGCGAAATTAACAAACTTTGTACGATTTAATCATATAATGGTACGATGCCACGCAACAAGTTGTATTTGCAGCCAGTAATTCAACAAAAGAATAATCGAAGAAAATAATCATTCAGAAACCTAATTGAATAAAACTCAGGTTGAATTAATTACCCAAAATTTTCTCTTGGCATCAAATTGCATCGAATTCCTCGGGAACAGGAAGGAAAGAACCCTAGATTTCTCATTGGAGTCAGACCTTGGGTCTCGCTGTACAATGAGAATCTATCTCCAAAACGTAGCTGCATTTCTGTGTAGATATTGCTGGGCCCAGATTACACAGGTTTCTTAGTGGGCCCATGAAAAGATTTACCTGCACTTGGCCCAAATGCTTAGCCTTCTCCCCAGTCCTTCGCTAGTCACTTGGTGCGGGCATCACATTACGCTAATTTGAGTTTAGTATGATGGAGAAGTTGGAGGAATGGAGGATTTAATAGGTGGTTAATGAGTGTAGTTACAAAGAATATGAAAATGATGGATGGAACTATTGGGGTTAGGGGGTTAAGGGGCAGCGGGCAGCAATATGGATCCTATCAGAATTATCCATATAGGAGTGAGGTGATCTACATCATAAGTAGAGTCTATCAGAACTATTCCTATAGAAGAAGGGCGGCCATCTACCCTATAAATACAAGAATTGCAACTCCTAAACTAATTCTATAATCACTCGTGAATGGTATAAATTATTCCTTTCTATATAGTGGTATGTCAGAATCTATTGTATCCTGAGAATTACTAAGTCTAATGAACTCTTGAGAATTGGCCACCTATCATAATTAACTAGTAAAGTCCTAGTAATCTGAAGGCCTAATCCCGATGCGAGCATCGCCGACCTCTTTGGCGGCCAAAGTCCGAGATGAAAGGAGTCTTCGAGCCAGGATAAGCTAGAAGAAGCCGAGTCCAATATGAAAAGTGTCTGTTACTCAGGTCCTCGATAAAGAATGTCTAGAATGACGAAATGACCTATCAACTTTAACATTTGTACTTCACCGCTCAAACCATCACATTTAGCATTGGGTCAGAATCATTATCTTCGGTCCGAAGTTAACTCCCTGGACTACGCTAGCCATATCCGTATTCGAATAAATATTCATAACCGTATTTGTTAGGATGCGGATATGGTTACTCAAATCTCTAACCAATATGATACAGTTACGGATATGGTTTTGTAATGAAATATCTGGATCTGTATCCGAAATATCCAAACACATATTAATCATACTCTTATGATAGTTTTAATTCTTAGATTATGGATTTGTGGTTAATTTTAACAATCAATATGTCTAATATTAGCTTTTTAGTTATAATGAACATATTAACGTACTCTTCTATATCACATAGACTATGTTTTTCTCAATACTATCCAGTTTTCTCATTTCTGTTTTGCATCTCGTATGCATGTCTGCTTATATATCCATAACCATATCTGATTTTAGCAGATATGGATATGAATTTTTCTTACTGAGGTATATCTGTATTTGTATCCATATCCGAGATGGGTAAGCGAATATAGATATGATAAGTATTATATTCGAGCCGTATCCAGAACGAATGCACCCCTAACGCTATCACTTCAGCCATTCTGTCACTTTCGCATTAAATGCGAAGTAACTCATTCAACTGGCTGCAGAAATGTGTAAAGTACGGTCTGATCAATCGATTGCACTAACCCAATCAAATTATTGATGTGCCCTTGCGAACTCTCTATAAATATTGGGCAATCTTCACTATTCTAAGGTATGCAAAAACTATTGAATAACTCCCTAAAAACTAGATTCTACAAATTTGCTTAATCAATTGCGGACTTGAACCTCGCAAAGCTTACCGGAGCAATAAACTCCAGGCCACTAATGGGTGTTTCCTGTGTAGGAATCTACTTCATTCTGATTGATCAGCTATCCAGGAAGAATAAGGGACCCTAAACTCCTTTAAACATCTACTTACCCACACAATTAACCTTCTAACATAAATAGTTTGATGAAGACTCACCCTTACCATGATAGGGAGCCGTCAGACAAAATTGTTTTTGTCTCGAGTTATCAGCTAGACTCAAGGAGGATCTGTCCTAGAATTCAGGTTTGATCAGGCCAAAGTGGTCGAGTAGTTCCTCCTTCCCAAGGATCAAATATTGTTGAGTGGGGTACCCAACACTAGCCTTCATCAAGCTTGTTGAGCTATCACATCAGAGGGGAACTCATAGAGATTGAATTGTTCTATCAATACGAGCAATCCCAGGACCTCTTCTTCAAGCTCTAAGAGAAGCAACGACTCATAAGGAGGCTCGGGAGGCGATCAAGCTACAGGCTGCCACCAAGGCAGGAAGATCCCCATCGGTTGCTCCTAGCTGGGCAACCAATTGTAGGTAATCGTCACTCACATTAATAATTTCAAGCGGGGAATTTAGGAAGCCTTTGGAACAGGAGCCCCACTGGTCTGCCCAGGTGCAGCCTCAGTTTGCCTAGGCTGAGACTCAGCCGCCTTCGCAAGAAGTCTTTGCGTGCTGTCTTTAGTCGAGCGGTGACCCTTTAAGATTTTCTTCTTTCTCTTCTTCTTCTTAGACCTCTTAGCTTGAGCTGCGGTCGAACCTGATGTTGGCCTTCTTATTTTAATAATGTTTAACAAATAATTTACCACTAATATTGTTTGTCTAGTGTCTGTGGTTTTTTTATTTATTATAGATAAACAACAAGTTGGAGGATGGATGAAATAGAGCCTCAACGATCATATTCAATGGAGGTTGGCGGAATAGTGGAGTGAAGCCTATGCATTCAAGTCAAGATACAAGTTCAAGCTTCTTTCATAATGTTTACCAAGAAGAGCTTCATTGAAGATCACAAGCTTTGGTAAATTAGTTTAGGTGTTATATTGTATGTGTTCAATACTTCAAGCTCAATTTCATACACAAGACGTTTATTTTGATTTATCATTGTTTTGGATTATAGACTTATTAACATGATAATATATCTTTTATCAAGTCTATAAACCTATTGGAAAGTATTTTGAAACTTTTTGGAATGAATTTGTCAAAATCAAGTTTTAACAAGTTTTGTTCGTGCATGTTTAAAGTTCATGTTCGTGCATGTTTTTACAAAAGAGATGAGTTTTCACAATTGGGAAATACAATTTAAAAAATTTCTTTGCATACATGTTTATATTCATATATACAAACATTTCCCCAAGTTTTACTAATTTTAGACTTGTTTTGTTATTTTTAATTGAATTTACAAAAACGAGTTTTCAGCAGTTTTTTAGAAACTGTATATCTTTAATAAAAAAAGTTATTTCTCAAACATGGAAAGTGATATTTCATAAATTCTTTCTCTAACATGTTTATATACATATTTGAAAACTTCTCACAAAATTTCATGATTTTGGAGTTGTTTTACTGTGCCCAATTGATTTTACAAAATCGTGTATGTAAGCAGATTTTGGAAACTGTATATCTGTGTTCAAATAATTATTTCTCACAAATAAGAAGTGATATTTACGAATTTCTTTCTCTGACATGTCTTTATACATGTTTATATACTTCTCTAAAAATTTCATAATTTTTAAAGTTGATTTATTATTTTTAATTGATTTTACAAATCCAGATATGTAAATTTTCAGAATGCTGGATTTTGGGTATTTTGCTCTTTTCACCCTATAACGGCTAGTAACGGCTAGAAACAGCTAGTTTTTATTTTGGGGTGTTTTTGGCTGATGTTTTAGGTTGTTATAAATACCCTATTATATTCAACTCTCCCACCAACAAAGAGAAAAGTTTTAAATAGTTTTATAAGTTTGTTTAAGGGTTTCTAAGTGAGTTTAAGAGTTTGGTTTGTGAAGATATTTTCACAAGAGCTTGAGGAGATAATCTTTTGGTGTTTAAAGCTTCAATTCATCTCCCTCTCTCTTGTCATCCATTGGAGAAGTTTTCTAAACTCTATATCTAGCTTTATATTCATTTGTTTAATTATCATTTATCAAAGCTAGTTTTTATATTGAGTTTAGATTTGATTTTTCTCATTGTTATACACACTCACTTGAGCTTTTAGTATTTACATACATAGTATAATTAGGGTTGTGAGAGATTGTAACATTGAGTTATACTAAATTAAGTTCTTATCTATTATAGAGAACAATTTATTTGTATTGTGAGCCTAAATTGTGAGATCATATTGTATTACACTAGTATACCGAGAGGAGTGTGTGGTGAGAGACGGGGTTATCCCAAGAGGAGTGAAGTCGGTAGTAAAAGCCTAGAGAGAGGTAGTAAATCTGAGTACTTAAGGAAGACACGGGCTAGAGACCAATACTTGAGGTGGTAGTTAGTGTGTATACATTGTGAGTGTTGTAGAGTTTTCGGTTAGCTAGAAAACCGAGTGTGTAGAGTTTTCGGTTAGCTAGAAAACCGAGTGTGTAGAAAAGTTCTGGCTTTCAAACCGGGTGTGACGATAGTGAAGATCTCCTCGAGGTGAGGAGCGGAGATATAGGTCATGGGGACCAAACTCCGTGATCATATTAATTGTTTGAGTTTGTCATTGGCGTTCTTTTACATTCATGCTTATTGTTTTTATCGCCTTTGTCATTTGCTCTTAGTTTATATTGTCCACTATCTTGTTTATGTTTATATCACCCTTAGTTTCATACCCTTGCATATATATCTCATAATATATCTCTTTGCTAGGATATATCCATTTGTTCATATTGTTTATTCTTGTACATAACTCTTGTATATCTATCTTGCAAGAATAATTTATTTTAATTGGCATAAAATCGGATTAGATTAGCATAAGACCATATTCACCCCCCTCTAGGGTCTAACAGTATAAAGACAAAGGAAATATCAGGGAGTACATTATGAAAATGTCTTATATTGCTTCAACTTGAGTTAAAGATCCAAATTATCTTTTGTGCTAATCTAGTTTTGTGATTTTATTTTATATCTTGCTTGAACATATTTATATCATGGACATGCACAGTGCACCTAGTCTTGGTTATACCATTAATGTTGCTCCTAGGATTAATAACTTTCCCTATGTCCAATGGTGTGTTAGATTTAAACTATTTGTTAGATCTAAAAATATTGATTTATGGGAAGTTATTGAGGATGCTTATATTGTGCCCACATTGGAAAAATCCAAGTGGAGTAATCATGATAAAAAGATGTTTACTATGAACAAGCTTGTGTTAGAATTTCTAATTGATGCTTTTGGCTTATC